ATCTAGTGAAATCATCCACAATCACAAATCTATATTTGTTTCCACCAATGCTAGTGTAAGTGGTTAGTCCAAACAAATCCATGTGCAACAACTCAAATGCCTTAGATGTACTCATCATGCTCTTCTTAGGATGTGTGTTGCCAACTTGCTTTCCGGCTTGACATGCACTACAAAGCTTATCCTTCTCAAATGTGACATCTTTCAAGCCTCTAACTAGATCATGCTTAATCAACTTGTTCAATTGTTTCATTCCAATATGACCAAGCCTTCTATGCCATAACCAACCCATGCTAGACTTAGTGAGCAAACATGTTGACAATTGAGCTTCTCTAGCATTAAAATCAACCAAGTATAGATTCTCATATCTAAAACATTTGAATATCAAGTTAGAGCCATCTACACTTATGATCTCTACATCATCAATTCCAAATATGCACTTAAAACCAAGATCACACAATCGAGCTACCGACAATAGGTTGAAGTTCAAGCTCTCTACTAGTAGCACATTGGAAATGCTCAAGTTATTGGATATTGCAATTTTACCAAGCCCTTTGACCTTGCTTTTGCCGTTATCACCAAATGTTATACTATCAATCCCATTGTCATCATTTGAGTTGATTGAATTGAACATTCTTGAATCACTGGTCATGTGTTGTGTGCGGTCACTATCAAGCACCCAATGCCTTCCTCTGGCTTTATAATTGACCTATAAAAGAAGATCAATTCTTTTTAGGTACCCAAACTTGCTTGGGTCCTTGAAGGTTAGTCATTAAGGTCTTTGGTACCCAAATGGCTTTCTTCTTTGAGCCCACAATAGGTGTACCAATGAACTTAGCCTTCACACCATTGGCACCCTTAACAAGCATATAACAAGAATAAAATCTAATTGAGGATACATTAGGTTGCTTGTTCTTGTTAGTCTTGCAATATTGCTCTATATGCCCAACTTGCTTGCATTTATTGTAAAACCGACTATTGCCCTTCACAAAGCTAGCTTTAGGAGTGACAAATAAAGGCCGCCTTGCCTTTATTGGGGGTATAGCCTAATCCCTCTTTGTTGAGAGAAAACCTTTGGCTATCTAAGCACTTTAGCGAGCGGGCATCTCCACCATAGGCATTGCCTAAGGCACGAGTAAGCTCATTCACCTCCTTCTTAAGGGTCTCATTTTCCACCATTAGTGAGGCATCACAAGTGAAGCCATCACTCAAAGGCAAAGTAGTAGTGGTGGTGCTACAAGAGGGGTTAGTGGGAGCAACAACAATTGGTTTATAAAAAGATTCATCAAGAATATCATATGTTAGTCCCACATCACATGACACAATCACTTGCTCCTTCTTGGCTTCTTCCTCCTTGACTTGCTTGAGGAGAGAGGAGTGAGCCTTTTCAAGCTTAGAGTGAGCTTTGCCAAGCATCTCATGGTCTTTCCTTAGACTCTCATGAGAGGCATTTAGCTCATCAAAGGATTGCTCAAGAGATTTGATCTTCTTGCGTAATTCTCTGCACTCCTTTCTCTTGATCTCAAGGCAAGTGTACACCTGCTCACACATGTCCATGAGCTCCTCTTTGGTGTACTCCTCATCACTCGTACAATCATCAGTTTCATAATCATCATCACTCACATCATATTTTACCTTGATAGGCTTTGCCATGAGGCATGTTGATGGAGTGTCGAAGATGGAAGGCTTGTTGTTGATGGCAATGCTTGCTAGTGCTTTCTTGATAGATTTCTTGCCATCATCACTAGAGTCATCACTATCCGAAGAGCCATCACTATCCCATGTCACCACATAGCCTCCACCCTTCTTCTTTTGGAAGGTCATCATCTTCTCCTTCTTTTCCTTCTTGTCCTTCTTGTGCTTCTTCTTCTCATCCTCATCATTGTCACTGTTGTAGGGACAATTCGCTACAACATGATCTGGGCTCTTGCACTTGTAGCATCTCCTCACATACTCTTTGCTCTTGTTGTTTTCTCTTCTCTTTCTTGCACCATAGCCCTTCTTCTTCATGAATCTTCCAAACTTGCGCACAAAGAGAGCCATGGCTTCATCATCAATTGATTCTTCTTTCTTGGACATGCCCTTGTTCTTGGATAATGAGCTAGCCTTGAATGCTATACTTTTCTTCTTCTTGTCTTCATCTTCCTTCTTGTCATCCTTGTCAACCCCCCCTTTCCACACGGTATGTCTCTTGTGTCATGACATCACCTAGTACTTGGTTAGTAGTGAGTTGCTTCAATCCTCCTCTAATGATGATCAATCTCAATGTCTCAAATCTAGTATGTAAGTACATCAAGAGCCGATGAGAGACATCATCATCATTGATATTTTCTCCCAAAGCCTTCAAATCATTGACAATTACTTACAATCTATGGAACATCTCTAGAATGCTCTCATCATCCTTCATCTTGAAGCTTGTCAACTTATCCTTGAGGATGTATAGCTTGGCACTCTTCACCGCTGGTGTGCCCTCATATGTTTCTTCCAATCTCTTCCATACCTCACTAGCTCTCTCACAATCCTTGATTTGCTCAAACACCTTGAAATCAATGGCATTGTAGATGGTGTTTAGAGCCATTGTATTGCATTGCTTGTTGGCCTTGTCATTGTTGGTGAGATTGTACGGATCAAGAATCACAAAGTCACTCTCGATCACATCCCACACTTGGTCATTGATTGAACCAAGGTACATCTTTATCTTTCTCTTCCAATAGTCATAGCATGTACCATCAAAGAACGGTGGTTTGCCCCCCACATGATTGAACACAATTTGAGCCATCTTTTGACACTAAGGTTGTCAAGCCTTCAATCAAACGGTGACCATGGCTCTGATACCACTTGAAATGTTCTAATATGGCTAGAAGGGGGTGAATAGCCTATTTAAAACTTCTACAAAGCACTAGAGCAAATTGGTTAGTAACACAAATGGTACAATGCAATTTTGCTCTAGCTCCATAAGGGTTGCAAGCCACCTATCCCAACAATTCTAGTTACTATGATCGCTATCACACACAACAAGCTAGATCACTACTCACTAAGCTAGTGTGCTCTCAAAGACTAACTACACTAAAGAGCTTGACAACTAGTTTGCAGGAATATAAATGAGTAAGTAGGATGATTATACCGCCACGTAGAGGAGTGACCCAATCACAGAATGAACACCAATTCAATCACCGGGAGAATACCAAAGGGCAAGAGACAACCAATTTTTCTTTCGTGGTTCACGTGGTTGCCGTCACGCTAGTCTATGTTGTATCGACCAACACTTGGTGGTTAGGCGGCTAATAGGTATCACACACCTAGCCCACCACAAGAGACGTCGCAAGAACCTACCCACAAGTGATGTAGCTCAATCACACGAGCAATTTACTAGAGTTGTCTTTGGCGCTTCACCGGGAAAGGCACAAGACCCCTCATAAGCAACCGATCGAGGCTGGAGACAATCACCAACTCCGCTCAATGATCCTCCAATCATCGGGCCGTCTAGGTGTCGGTAAACACCAAAAGTAACAATCTCACAACCAGCCCAAATCACCCAACTAGTGCCACAAGATGATGCAACTCAATGCAATGCACTAGAGGCTCTCCAATCTCACTCAAGATGATGAAATCAAGTGAACAAGTGAGTGGAGTGTGTTGCTCAGCTTCCAAAGGATGTGCACAAGTGTATGAGGTGCCAAAAGAGTGGTCAAGGCCGGCCACACCCTCTTTTTATAGCCACACAAGCAAATAGAGCCGTTATACCCTTTGGAGCTGTTTCTGCGAGGTCACCGGACAGGGCGGTGCCTAGCACCGAACATGGCGGTGACCTACCCAACGGTTAAATTTCAACGGTCACAAACTAGCCGTTCGGGCACCGGACAGGGTGGTGGTGGCACCGCCCTAGGTGTGGCAGTGACTACCCAGCCGTGCCCCCGAGAGACCATGTCTCTAGAATAAAATGGCGGTGCCCACGGCGGTGACAGAAGCCAGAACCCCTGCTCTCTGGAATAAAACGGCGGTGGCACCGGACAGCCCATGGTGGTGACCTGCCCAACGGTCGAATTTCAACGGTTACGAACAAACTAGTCATTGGGGCACCGGACTGGGTGGCGGTGGCACCACCCTAGGGGTGGCGGTGACCACCCAGCCATGCCCCCGAGAGACCAAGTCTCTGGAATAAAATGGCGGTGGATCGCTGTCCTAGTGGTAGTGCCCACGGCGGTGACCGAATCTAGAACCCCTGCTCTTTGTAATAAAACGGCGATGGCACCAGACATCCCAAGGCGGTGACCAGGCGGTGCACCACCACACCCATGGTGGTGTACACTGGCATGTCTGGTGATCACCCCAAACCAGCCACTCTCGACCCTTCTCTGCCATATCCTGGTGGGTACCGCCCTAGGGGTGGCGGTGCCACCGGACAAGGGGTGGCGGTGCCACTCAGGCACCAAACCCTTCCCCATGTTGCAAATTTTTTCGTGTTTCGTTCCATGGCAACTTAGAGCAACTTTTCGCAAGCAATGCTAACTCTCAAAGTGTTTTCTCAAAACATGTTAAAGCCAAGTTAGCATTTCTCAAATCATTTTTAATAAATATTTTCGCTTGCTCTTTGATGTGCACTAGGCCTAAATGCAATGCATGAAGTCCAACACCTAGTAGCACTAGATGACCGAATTGTCTAGTTAAGAACCCCTCTTAATAGTACGGCTATCTACCCTAAATGTGATCACACTCTCTATAGTGTCTTTATCACTAAAACAAAATCCCTAATTATACCTTTGCCTTGATCTCTATAGGGTTTTGTTTTTCTCTTTCTTCTTTTCCATGTTGAGCACTTGATCATCATCACATGTGGCCATCTCATCATTTCATGTGATCAACATCACCATTTGAGTGCCACCATACTTCACAACTTGGATTGCACCAACCTAGCTCATATCACAACTCATGACAAAGGTTAGTGCATAGGTTTCATCAATTATCCAAAACCAAACTAGGACTTTCACCTTGGCTAATCTGCGATGGCAGAGTGGGACACTTTGAAGGCCGAAGGCGATATGTTGGAGGTGGCCCGGGCGTGCCTGATTCTACCCTCCTCTAGATGGGATCTACCGAATCCAGTGGCATCGGAACCAGCGTCGGGGGAGTCGCAGGTTGTTGTCTCCTTCGTCCCCTTCTACCTTGCTGGGTTTGGGGTCCCCGTGCATCTGTTCGTGGGGAGGTTTCTTCGTTACTTTGGGCTATGGCTCCATGACCTGACGCTGCACGGGGTGGCGCACCTTGCGGTGTTCGTCATTCTCTATAAGTGTTATCTGGGGATTGAGCCCTACTTTCACTTATGGAGGAGGATCTTTCGATTGAACTTGAACAAGGACGGCGCCAGATCCGTGCAACGGATCAGCGTCGCCGCCATCCATCTGTGCAACAACCTAAAGCTGCGGTACCTAGAGCTCTCCTTCCCCACCTCCAAGAAGGGGTGGCACCGGAAATGGTTTTATCTTTTAGATCCCTTTGGGTCTCTGCCATCCTATTCCCCTGACCATCTGGGGCTGGTGGCGCCGCTGTCTTGGAAGAGGGTCCTGGAGGGCCCCGCCCTCGAGGTCGCTGACAAAGGCCTAGCCCCATTCTTGTTGTTCGAGCCGAGACCTGACGAGCTCCCATACCTGGGGCGGTCTCCATTCGTCCTAGCCCCGTGGGGCAGGGGACCGAGGGTGCCTTCGGGAGTTCTTCCCCGCCACCGGGGGGCATGTCCTCTAGCTCATCCTTGGGAGGTTCGCCCTCCACCCGAGCCGTTGGCAAGCGCCCCTGTTCGAGTTCCTCTAGGGCTAGGGCGCCTTCGCGGAAGAGGCGCTCTGCTCTAAGGCTTTCTTCGAGCGGCGGGTGACGATCTCCGTCGATCGGCCTGCCACTGTCTGAAGGTTATATGTTTATTGCTTGACAACGTGGATGTTGACCGCAGGGAATCTTCGTCGATAGGGGCTTCGGGCGGTGCAGCGGCGCTGTTCCGGCCGTTGGTGTTGAAGGTGCGCCGCTACCCGTTGCTGCCGCCCCAAGTGGGTGAGGTGTCGATGTCGGATGCCGCCGCGGAGGGGCCAGTCGTTGAGGCCCCAACACATCCAGTGAGATCTGCCCCCAAAGCAGAGGTGGACCAGGCGGAGGCCACCGTCCCCGATCTCCCCCTGGCCCCGAGACGCGAGGAGGTTGGTTCCTCGGCGGCGGCTGCGCTGGTCCGCCCTGCACCGCCGGCAGGGGGGGCCGCATGCGCTGGACGATGGCCCTGTGACAGACGCTTGGCTGGAGCTGATGAAGCAGCGCGGCGCCTTCGACGAGCTGGTTACCTTCTTCTACGACTCCTTCGGGGAGATGACGGGCCGCACGGGGGAGTTCTTCGGTCTTCAGCACGGGATATCCGACTCCTATGGGTGCTGGCGATAGTTAACTTAAATATTTTGCTCGCCAAACCATATTAAAATGACAACAAATAAAATATATTTGAGCAAGATAGGACTTTTATCTAATAAGTTCCATGAGTTTTTGTGCTCTATAGTTATTTTGCAGGATATACTGAAAATGCGAGTCAAAAGATAATATATATAGTACATACACAGCTCACGTGGAAATTGGACAATAAAATATATTAAAATATTGGATGCGGTAAACCAGTCTCAAATAAATATTTGGAGCATCTCTTTGCGAATAGCTCATCGAGACGATCGAAACGGACATATTATTCATTATTTTTGAGCTCCTACGAAAGAGATGGAATTTGCAAATTAAACAAGAGATGTCAACATCAGCACCTCTTATACCCCTGCCATCGTCATTACGTAAATGCAAAATCCAGCTACTGCTGCACGCCTGCACTCCATACAAGTCAACGTAGCGTGCACCACTAGTCCAGAATCCAGATGCCCAGTAAGGGAACAGGCAGGCCAAAGCCGCCAGCGGCAACGCTCGTGCAACACAGGATCCCACCCGCGCGCTCGTACAGGAAGCCCACACGGGCCTAACAGCAGCCAACCGGGACAGCTCGTCCACACGCGCAACACAGCAGCGGCTCAGTTGGGATACTGGCGCGTGGCAGGCCCGTCTGTCCAAACTAACCCACGACGAGCAGGCCCAGTCCAGCCAGCGGCACAGAGAATGAAGACTTGGTGTTCACCGACTCTGCTAGCCGGTTCTGCCCAGAAACGTCGGTTCCCACCTCCAGCTGTCGCTCAAAGAGAGAATAGAGGAGGGAATATTCTCAGGACCCTAGGAGCATATCTACTCTCTCAGGTAACCTTTCGCCTATAAATAGAGAACCTCTTTACACTTTACACACACCACAAGGGCTCTCATCTCTCTATTTCTAAGATGTAAAAGTAGTATAGGCTAGTTGGGAGTTAGGTAGTGATGCTCAAGTTTCAGAGTAGTCCTTGGAGGTTCTGGTATATTTTTATAATACCTTTGTAAGACTCGAATATTTAATATATATTTATCTTCTCTAATTATTTGAATGTCTATCTTGGTTATATAGTCATGCCTTAGTGTTTAGTTAAGCGTGGTAAATATAGTTGTTTATATTTTAGCATGAGATCTCCGCTCGCATCGAGTGCTCTAGTTATAGATCATGACTAGAGTAGTAATTAATAGGTTAGATATGGTATCTAATCTATAAGTTACCTGAGATGGCACTCAACCCCACGGATAGCTGTGATAGCCCTCGACGGTGACAACCCTGACGGCCGACGTATTCCACCACGTTCGGGTTGGTGCTTGCAGGACCGAAGTAGAACTTCCTAGCCCCCTTCTCATCCCTGTCCGTGGCTAGTGTTCTGATGTTCCGAAGTGTTATGCTGTGATCGCTATGTCTGACCTTTGCTTAATTATTCCTCTAGTCTGGTCTAGAATGGAACCGTAAGTAATAGAGAAGTATATAGGAGCTTAAACTCACCCGTTGTCCTCCCAACATAACCTGTCTACTGTTATATCTTATCATGAAGTTCTCTTGTGTGTCACTTATCACTCCTATCTCTTATGGCTTACCCCCACATTAGTCTAAGCGCTATACTAATTGGTAGATACATGATGGTCAACTATCAACTTCTTTAACCATTGCTTCCCTGTGGATAAATATGATACCCCATAATACTCCTGGGTGAAAGCTACAATGGTATCCGTGCGCTTGCGGATTTATCTGTCTGCATCAACAAATACCAACAACGGGGTGAGAATCAATCAGGCATGTACGACACCACAGTCAGTGCTAAGGTTTTGCCTGAGCTTTCTTGTTGTTGTTGTTGCAGGCGCTGCTCTAGTTCTCCCGGAAGAAGTCAGATCTCGTCCGGGAGTGGGAGAAGGCCGCTCTGCAGGTGCTCTCTGGTACCTCTGGAGGGAGCAAGAGGTCCTTGCCCATCTTGCTGCCCCAAACCTTGTCCTCTGCCCAGCGCCCTGGTGGCGGCACTGACGGAGGCGCTTGTTCGGGAGCATGATGGGGCGCGCAGCGCCATGGCGCAGCTGGAATCCAAGTTGGTGGCGGAACAAGAGGCCAAGCACACCTCGGAGGCGAGGGCCGAGGTGTCCTGGCAGAAGGTCACAGAGGTGGAGGAGGCCCACCGGACGGCTGAGGGCATGGTCACGGAGCTAAGGGGTTCCCTAGGCCTGCTGGAGACCACGAGGGATGTTGCCCGTTCTGAGCTCCGTGAGGCCCAGCGGCTCGTCGCAGGTGCGTCCTCTTCTCTTCCTTCTTTCCCTCGTCTCTAGGGTGGGGTCTGTCGTTCTAGGCTGCCATAAACCGGGTTCTCCTTTCTTCGCACGACGTAGGGCTACGAGTGGAGCTCACAAATGAGGACGGCAAGGTCCTTCGGCTGGAGGAGGAGGCGAAGAAGAGGTAGAACCGTGACAAGCATTGTTGTTTGAGTCGGTGTCAAAGTACGGATCTATGGTGGCTTGGCTAGACTCAAGAACACAAGAATCATAGAGAGGATGCAACGGTTTATCCTGGTTCAGGCCAATCGGTGCCCTACGTGCAACGGCTGATGATCCTTATACTCAAAAGCACCCAAAATTGGGGGGTTACTGATGTAGACAAGGCTCGATCTTCCGAAAGGTATGATAGCGTCGATTGGTGGAGACTCGACGTTCACGATCTAGGCTTAGAACCAAGATTGATTTGGACCCCCGCAACCATTACACCACTGCTCCGTTGGTCATCAACCATGCGAACGCGATTGACCTCGCCGAGAAGGCTTTACTGCAAGTGAATCGAGAACACAAGCAAGAACGGGATGAATGCAATCTGAAATTGCAAATAAATATGAGGCTTATGATAACGAGAAGGAGTTCAAGTCTTTATTCGAAAGGACTAATCACCACAGGCGAACAAGATCAAGAACCGGGGCCCTGGTTCACAGCAACCAGCCTTGGCGGCATAGTTGCAGCAAAACGATGTCTGTTTCACAAGGAAATCAAGAACTAAACAAAACCCAAACCCTAAGGAGAGCGATGACTGCTAATTATAGAGTCTTGGGCATCACCCCCTGGACGCGCCCTCTAATGGGCCGAAACACGATACACGGTCCAACGGACCAAAAGACGGTGTTGCAGCACCCTAGCAGATTCTGGACGCTGACTTGTTTCGACGATTCCTGTTGATTTCGAAGGGCTTTTGATGTGAGACCCATTGCATTGGCTTCCTTATCTAATTAGCTTTCCATCCATATGTGGATCATCGAAAATGGAGTCCGGATGTGTCCTGGGTGACCAGTTTAAGGCAGATTGGTCCTGGACTCCAAGACGGGCTCGAACTTGAGTTGCTTTGGGCCTCCACCTCGGGGACTCAAACCGAATTAGCCTCGGGCCTCCTTCTTGACTTGGACACCCTTGCTGGTCTCCTACCCCTCCATACCATGCGCCAAACATGGTCATATGCATGGGTGTCATGTCCTCATCATCCTCCCCTTCTTGACGAAAAGCCGTCCTCGGCGTCGATTGTGCTTAAAACTGATCCTGCACAACACAAAGGAGAATGGGGTTGCGAAGACAAAGGGAACTAAAATAATTGTTAGAAGGAATGTGACCATGTTTCTAAGTTTCTAGCATGTCATCTCACATACAAATTTCAGCAAGCATGTAGACTCCATGATCCGAATGCACACGATGTATGTCAACACTATCCTGCAAAAGATTAGAACTAACCAAAGACAACACAGGAATAGATGGTCTAGCAGACATAGGTAGCAACCAACAATGCTCCCCTTCTTGGAAGTGAACTTGTTTCTTTGAGGAACATGAGAAAATGTTTGTATTATTATGGCTGCTATCTAAACGATCATAATCTTGTACAACAAAAGGAGAATTCATATTACTTCGACTGTATACTCGATGTATCATATATTGTCTCTTATTGTTATATTTGCCAATAACATGATATGTGTATTTAGAAAACCAAGGCAAATCAGCATATTTAAAAAGGCTCTCCTCTAAACAATCTAGGTTACACAAAACATCAAATTCAATGTAACCCAAAGTATGTAAAGAAGACAACAATTTGAGCTCATCAGTTTTAGTAGCAATATGAATAACATGTTTATTTTCAGCACAAGTGGTTGGTTCCAAAACATGTAAAACTGAAGCATCATCAACCAATTCATCTTTATCACAAGGAACATCAAGCAAATTATCATGGGACAAAGATAAATCAAGAGAGGGTTCCACTAACAATTGCTTTATGATAGCATGGTTTGTGGAAAAAATTAGTACATTAAAACAATTCTCACCTTCTATGAGTGTAGCACCATGGGCATTACTTGTGTTCTCAGTAGGAGTAATAGGTACATTGTGAAGTGATGGTTCTGAATTTGCATATGAGGTTGTGAGCTCCTCATTTTCTTCCATGTCATCCTCTCGCTTATGTACATTATCCTACAGAAGGTTAGTCATAGCAAGAGGAATAACAACAAACTCTTCCTCTAAATGGTGCACCTCATCATATGAAGTCAAAACAGGAGGTGGATTAACAAAGGTTTCTCACATAAGAAGTTTCATATCATTCCAAGTTTGAGGTTTATCAGAAGGATCTAAAGACTCCCACCAAGATAAAGTAGAATATCACAAAACACTAGCTGCATTTTTTACCTTCCTCCTTGAACACATAAAGCGAGTAGCAAATATGTTATCTATGACAATTTCCCACTCCATGTACTCATCATCACCTATACCATCATAAGTCGGTGGATACGAACAACTTGGCATTGTTAGAATCAAACAAGAAAATACACAAGTATGTATTTTCCTATCAGCTACTATAGGATGTGGTCAAGGAGTAAAGTCACACACTCTCAAGTGTCTTACCACGGTCTTACAAGTGTTCTTACCAAAGCAACAGGTGGTGCAATCGGTCAGTGACTGTGATACTGTTGCAGCTTGAGTGTAACAGTTGCAAGGCGAACCTG